ATTTAAATCACCCCCGAAACACACACCCAAATACCTAGTTCCTACCTTACCCCTGGAGTGACATGCTGGCTGACTCCCAATATCTGCAGGGCCCCCCGGGAGGTTCCAGAGGCCCCGAATATAGAAGCTGAAGGAGCCAGGTGAGCTGCTCTGACCAGAGATGGGCTCTGTCGTGCATGGCGGGGCTGCCTCTCCAGGCATGACAAGTACTGGGAGTCCTGCCCTGGGACAAAGTTAAACCCGTCTTCTGCCTGGTCCCTGAAGACTCTAGGAGTCTGTTTATCTTGTGGAGTGTCCTAGATTTTCTATACCCATGACCAGTGCTTCAGCCTCAATGTTGTGTGAGGGCTTGGGGAGCTGGGGACGGGGAGAAGAAAATCCAAGATGGGAAAGGGAGGAGCTGTGGAATTCACTGGACTAGGCCTCTCCGAGGATCACAGACCAGACACCTTCTCCTTTAAAGAAAAAAGGAAATTATGATGAAAATTACATAGTAAGCTTACTATGAGCCAGGCTAGCTCTCGTGGGTCACAGTAAAGAACTGAGTTACCCGAGACAGCACCACCTAAATGTGGTGGAGCAGGGGTCCCAGCTCAAGACCGATTTGACTTGTCAGGCTCTTAATGGCATGGATCCCACCCTGAAACACAAGAGCCCATCATGTGCACAAACGGTTCTGTTTTCATTGAAAGAGCTGGGGACATCTTTGATGTGGCTTAGGGTTGCACATTTTGCCATCACCAGGATATCTCCTTCTGATTCCCATCACCCGTCACCGATAGACAATAGGACAGGAGACCAGGGACAACCAGTTTTGTGCCACCTTTCTCCAAAGTTATGCCCTACCTGGGAAGGAATGGGCCAGAAGCTTTGTCACCACAAATCAGCATCTACTGAAAGCACAGCACCCACACAGGTGAGCTAGATGGACATGTCGGACACAGACCCTGCTCTGTAGAAGTTCAAAGCACCTGGAAAAAGAATCCTGCTGCATTTACCAGGGCAAGAAAGCAGCCATCAACCTTATCTTTTAAAGTAAGTCAAAGCCAGCACGTTCAGCAGACACAGTACAGTTTACAGTCCCTTATGCAAACCCCACAAGGCCAAATGTGTTTTGGAAAATAAAATTCTTAGAAAAATGAATGAGTGCTTACACTGTATATTACATAACACGGCATACCACCCTGTGATCAAATACACTAATATTTCTGCAATGACACAGACGAACATCACCATAGGTGAGATATGTAAAACCCATGCACAGCTCAGGGCCACCCAGTTTAGGTTCACCACCAAATGAGTTCATGTCACTCTGGTGTTGCTTCTAGGTGAGTTCTCAAAAAATCTTGCAGAATTTGTAGCTTTTTTGGATTTCAGCATGTGTGTAAGGGATTGTGGACATGTGAACCATTGAAGGGCTCTAGGTTCATCTGCACTTCTTAGAAAAATGTGAGATTAGTTATATGTATAACTTTGCTCTTAATAACAAACCAACTGTCTCCAATGCTCTGCTTTCACAAAGAACCAAATTAAAGGCACATTCTTATGTAAGTAACAATATTCCATAAACATTAACTCAAGCACATTTGATAGAATTATCCTGATTATAGGAGAGCTAGTATTTCTAGAAAAACCTCCTTTTGGGGCCGGCCCGGTGGCGCACTGCTACAGTGCGCCGCTTGGGAGCGCGGAGGCGCTCCCCCC